CGCCGCCTTCTCGCGGCTGCTGTCCTCCGAGAGGCGAGAATCGACCCGGACCCGCGGAGCCGTCTGCAGGGACGCCTACCGGGGAGGGTGGATGGCCAGATGCAACGACCCGTCTTGTTGTTGTTTTTGTTTTTCCCCTTGGCTGAAGGAACACGTCAGCCGATGGGGGGAAGTTAATTCAAAGGTCCCTGAAGAAAGTGTGATTCCTGTTTCCGTTTGAGGAACTTCAGCAAGCTTTGCCCATGTGGAAGGCAGTTGTTTCAATCGATGCCCCCCGTTCTGGCCAAGCCCCAGCTGAAATTTGGTACATGACCGCTCTCGTGCCGTGAGAGCCGCCGAACACGGGGGAAGGCTACAAGGGGCCGTTTGTATTTTGATTTTTTGGGGGAGGTTTCTAGACTATTGCTATTGTTTGGGGGATTTGGGCGGGTTTTGCGGGGTTTTGGAGGATTTTTGGGGGAGGTTTCTGGAGTCAGGAGAGGATGTTGGCAGATGCTACGACTGGGATCTCCAAAGCGCCACATTGTAGACTAAAATACCGCTGACGTGTTTTGTTGCACCCCAAGATCCTCCTCAGGATTGCCTGCATCATTTGCACGCAGGCCGGCCCAAACACTTGGACCCCAAGACATCCCCGGTCTCCCTGGCCTTGCGACGGGCTTCTGATGCCACGTTGCCCGACCTTCAAAAACACTGTAAATACCGTGCCAATCGCCCCGGACAGTCGCCAGCATCCCCGCCAGCATCCTAAAACTTCGCCAGCATCCCCGGCATTCCTGCGTCACCAGCAGGGCCCCTTACATCCCCTGCATCCCCTGCATCGCTCAAACCGCGATGGAGTGAGCGTTTTTTTCTTGCGCAAGCGCGGCCGCCGCCGCTGTGCGGAAAACATCGCGCATACCGTGTTTTCTTTCATTTTTCCACGGGTTTCTGTGGGGCTGGGACGGGCTGCCGGGGATGCATTTTTTGGTCTGATTGGCTTTCGGTGCGCGACCCGTGCGGCGCGCGCGCCGGACGCAAGCAGGCACACATGCACTCAAGCTGGGGTTGGGCAAGCTTTGCAGCCTGTTGCGCGTGTGGGTTCGCAGCGAGCGCGTGCTTGGGCGGGCGAATGGTGTGTGGGTTTGCGGGCGGCGTGGGTGGGTGGGGGGGATGTGTCGGCAACCCGCCGGAGAAAGTAGACTTGAAGCGCTTTCCGAATTGGACCATTCCGGGTGGGAGGGCTGTCTCACTGGGCTGGGTGTCTGGGATAAGCACGCCCTGCAAGGCAGCCTGACTCTCTGGATTATCGCCCCATCCCCGCTCTGTAGAGCTTTTCTCCTTAGGTTGCGCGAGGTCGTCGCAACTGCGCGCAGCATTTCTGGAGGTCAGGCTCGCCTAAACAGAGTTCTTCTTAGTGCTCCCCATCTGTCCGACCGGCCAGCACAACTGATGGCGAAGCCCTACGATAAATAAACAAATAAATCAACACATAAATAAATAGCAAACAAATAAATAAGTAAGCAAAGAATCACGCCAATAAACAAATATTTACATATTTTTTAAGAGAGAAACACAACAACAAAATATACTAAAAAACGGCACTGGCTCCTCCGATGGTCAATTGCCGCCTGTCGCTCAGTGACGGAGCCGGAGATCCGCCGGCCGGAGATCCGCCCAGCGCGGCCATGCTCGACACCTCCAGGCCGGGAGGGAAAAGGAAGGGGATCGGAAAAGCATCATGCATCTCGGGCCAACGGTGTTTCTTTTCCACTCCGGGTGTGCAATTGGCAAGATAAGGCTGAGTGCGGCTTCTTCATTTGGGCGTTGGGAAACATTTTACATTTTTGCTTAGTGTGGTTTAGTGGGCAATCCCCAAGTTTGATGGCAAAGCTCTGAGGCAAACTTGGGCAGCCCTTGTTCCTGCAACTGAGAGCTGGGAAGCTGTTCAAATTTTCAAACATGGAATCCAACAGAACCCTAGAGGAAACTGGCAGCCGAACCAGCCTCAGCCCAGTGGATTCCGGCCTTTTTTCTCTTCTTTTTTTTGGGGAAGGGTTCTGAACCAACCAAAAAAGGATGCCCTTTTTTCCCATGGGAATCCACTGGGCATCTGAGTCAGACGTTTGGAACGTCTCCTCGCCGCGAAATGCTGCTTCGCTCCAGGCTTCCGAGGGCGCAGGAGGTGATGAAGGCCAGGTCCCACGTGCCGGCGCAGCTGCAGAAGGAGCACCCCTTGAACCAAGGCGCGAGCGAGCCCCAGGGTCCGAGTGCGCGCGCGTCCGAGCGCGCGCTCGAGAGAGCCAGCGAGGTTTTTGTAGGGAGGGTTTTTCTGCCAAGGCAACTTGGCAAGGGTTCCTAGAGGGACCAAGGGACACTTTTCCCATTTGGTGGCTTTCCCCGACGGGCATCCCATGTAAAGGATGTTTTGAGCAACCCAAGCTTTGGCGGACACCGAAATGGGCGTCCCGCTTTCTGTTTTTTTTTGGTTTTGTTTGTTTTCTCCGACTCCTGTAGCAAGATGTTGACCTCGTGGAGCTCTACATGAGTCTGGCCAAGACAAGTATTGGGGATGGGTTGTTCCATGGTACTGTTCCTGGAAAAGGAAGAGCCTTTGGGATATATGAAACAGGTAGGTAACATGTATCCTCTTTTGAACACTCGTATCAGACCTTCAGAAAAGCATGTCGTTTGTTCTTTCCGCTTGAAGGAGTCCCTTCCAAGTCAACTACCGCAACGAGGTGCCCTTTTTGAGATGGTCTGCGAAAACCCTTCTGTCCACTTTCATGATTGGTAGAGTTGTTTTTTTCCCTGGAGCGAAGGAAGCACCTTTGGGCAATGGCAACCCAAAGCAGCCGTGTTTGGCGGCTGGACTACCACGTTGCTGGTGTGAACCATCACCTGTGAGCCACAATCAAAACCCGGGTAGATGAAGGTTAGTAAGGGGCAGTCCCAGCCAGAAATAGTTGCGGCCGCCTTCTTAGTTCTTCACATGCTTCTGGGTAGACCATCCAAATACCGGGTTTTGATTGTAAGTCACCTTTGGTGCCTCTTTTAGTTGACTTGCCGTCTCGGGTGAGGTTTTTGGGTTGGACATATGTGATTTCTGGGTTTTGTCTCAAAATAGGGTTGAAACGACGTACCCGTATGGCCACGAATTTTTAGCTCCGCGAACATGACTCGACATACATCTCCATGTAAATTATGTTCACCAAAGAGTTTATATCAGTTCATATCCGTCTCGCTTGCCCAAAGCGAATCGACCTTTTGACCTTTGCCCAATTTGGGGTTCCCACTTTTAGCAAAGGTCCCGAAAGGATGACCTTGTATTTTCGGGTATCCAGGCCCTACGCGTGGTCAAAGCACCTTTTTACTCTCATAAAACATAAAACACATTTTGGGAAGAGAAGGCAGTAAATGCAAAGTCTGCAGTTGCTTGTGACCAATGCGCTATTCCGTATCTAGCATGAGGTATTCTGCGAAACTCCTCAACGTATGCGGTAAATACCAGCTGACATGACCTTCGACGCGGGAAATCTATGGGTATGGGTCAGCATAAGGCCACCCGAAAACCGCATGTTTGAGTCTTTGGTTCCATTTCCCAAACTCCCATGTTGGGTACGCCTAATTTTTTTTGACCCGAAAACCGCCCATCTGGCGCCATGCAGCGCAGCCGCGCCGTCCGCGCCTCGCTCGCGCCTCGGTCCGTTAGCCAGGCTTTAGCTTTGCGAAGGCGGACGCCATCTACACGGCGATCCTCGTGGACGTGGAGCATCTCAGCGCGCGCCTCGCCTCCGCGCCGAAAAAAGTCGCGTTCGTCGCTCGCGAAGCGACTCGTGATCGCTTCGCCGGCTCGACGAGAAGGGGCCGAGGAGGCGCTCACATTGTTTGGCGGCGTTTGGGGGGATTTTTTTGGAGAACTCCACAAGGGTGATAGCCCGTGGGTGGTGGTTTTCGTTTGAAAACTGGACCTTTCAAAGGATTGCCTCTCTGACTACGCTCAGAAGATTTGTACGTGATGCCAGTCTTTAACATGTTCGGCTCCTTTTGGATCTCCAATGTCCTGTGGGATTGTTCCTTTGAAACCGGCAAAAAGGGGGAAGCCTCCAAAAAACAGACACCCCCCAAATGGTGCATGTTTTGAGGGTACCCGCTTTGGGGTGGGTTTAAAGGGAACCCAAAACGTGAACTACTGTTTTGGGGGGGTTCCCCTCTGTTGTCACACACCCAAATCGTGGCTTGCCCTTTGATTTCCATTTCACGTAACCACCTGCGTTTGATTGTTTAGAGTTGAAAACTCAAACATGGTTGGTGCTGAACCTCCACCTTAAATGGCTTCCACCAAAACGTTCCCTCTTACAACTCGTACCCAAGTGGTACGCGTATGTGTTTTTAGGGAACCCTGTTCTGGTTGGTTTCAAAGGGAAGCCAAAAGGAAAACCAGGATTCGGTCAAGAAAGTCAGTATGATTTCTTTCGCAGGCACACGGGGACTCGTTACTTGCCCCCCCAACAAGAAAGGAGCTGATGCGTACTTCCACACATAGCCGAAGAACAATCAGACAATGTGATCATCATGTGCTTGTTGTGATTATATATGTATATATGCATTCCATGAGCAGGAGAATGCTGAGAGCTTGAAGTGGTCGGAGCTCAGATATTCGAAGGCTTGAAGGTTAACGATGAAACAGGGTTTGAACCGCCTACTGATTGGGTGCCCAAGGGCCGGAACCCCCGGAAACCCTCCGGAACGCTCCCTGAGAGCTGCCCCAAACCACAGCTTTCGGCTGCTAAAAAATATACATATATATATATATATGCATTCCATGAGCAGGATAATGCTGAGAGCTTGAAGTGGTCGGAGCTCAGATATTCGAAGGCTTGAAGGTTAACGATGAAACAGGGTTTGAACCGCCTACTGATTGGGTGCCCAAGGGCCGGAACCCCCGGAAACCCTCCGGAACGCTCCCTGAGAGCTGCCCCAAACCACAGCTTTCGGCTGCTAAAAAGTATACATATATATATATATATGCATTCCATGAGCAGGATAATGCTGAGAGCTTGAAGTGGTCGGAGCTCAGATATTCGAAGGCTTGAAGGTTAACGATGAAACAGGGTTTGAACCGCCTACTGAGGCCGGAACCCCCGGAAACCCTCCGGAACGCTCGCTGCTAAAAAATGGACTCCCCAAAATGGCAAGCCTTGGCATATGGAAAAGAACCCGAGCCTTTTCCTCACTGTTCTTGGCATGTTGTTTAGTTTTGTAGTTTTTTGGTTCTGTTCATTTTTACTGGGGGTCTGCAAAAAGCAGTCAGTTGTTTGCCAGCCCATACCAGGAGTAGAGATGGTTTCCCTCAGCCTAGGATGCCGGGCCTGCCGGCCGACGGCCTCGCGCGCTTCCAGTTCCTGGAGGCCCGGCGGAAGCCCCGAAGGAGCTCGCGGGGCGTCTCTGAGGATTTCTTGGCACCCACCCAAAAAAATGCGGTCGGCTTTTTCCTCTTGGCCCTTCAAAACGAGGCTCAAGAAAAGACACAACAGGGTGGTGGGAAATGGAAACCACTTCTGAGATACAACAAAAAGGGCTGCCCAAAGACTAACACCCCATATAAAGGGGGAGATTCCCTTGTATCACAGAAGTGGTTGGATAAACCCCTTGATTCCACAACCCTGAGACACAAGGTCTGAAGTGGGACGTGAATTGGTTGACGCGGAACCATGGGTAGCAAGAACCCAATTCAACATTGAGCAGCAAGCAGCTAGGAAATGTGAGGTCAAAATGGGACAAAGAATCAACCTCCAGGCAACAAATGACACTGGAAGGGGACAGCAAAGGAACAGAGAACGCAACTCCATGGGGCAACACGGCGGTTTTCCGAGCCCGGGAGCCAATTCAAATGATTCAAGATGAGTTTACTGGTGACTTGGTTTGGCTTTGAAACATGGATACCGACCCTAGGGTTGTGATTTGTGAGAACCGTTTGGGTTTGCCTTTTTAGGACGGCCCCTTTTGGTTCTTAAAGGGACGCCACGAGGAAAATGGTCAGCTTCCCGTTGGTGTCCATCTGGTCTCACACCTCAAAACCGGTGCCCTCCCAGATTGGTTTTCACAGTCTCCTTTTGGCTTCCCGACCTCACTTCCCGAATTCATTCCCGGGACAAGCCACTGTTTGGGGGTTTGGGCCGGCCATGGTGGCAAGCAAGAGTGGTCTTACTCTTTCTGGCCAACTCGGATCTGAAAAGTGAGGCTCATTTGGAGGTTTGGACCCAAACCTCCAAGTTTGGGACCATAGCGAGCTCGATCCGGTGTAAGCTGGCCGATCCGATCAGGTCTTTGGGGATCCAACTTGTTTCTCGGCTTCTGGGAATTGTATAGGAGAATTTGCAGAGAGTTTTCGGAACCGACTTGGTTCCCGAACGGGCATCCGGAACCTCTGAGAAGGTTGTGAACCGTCACCGGTTTTCTAGTCAAGTTGGATGGTAGAGGGAATTCGGGTCGGGGTGTTATTCCAACTCATTCTTCTTTTGGGCCAAGCATATTCGGGTTCCCCTGTTGCACCCCACTCTATTGTGAAATGGACGAAATCAGACCCTGACTTCGAATTCCCTGTAAATACCAACCAACGTTATGGTTACCATGATTGCCTGTCGTTGTGCGAAATGGATTTCGCCATTACTGGATTTCACGCCCATCCTCAGGGCTGGGTGTGTCTGGGAAACCCAAACATGGTTGCCTCTTGGCTTCTAGCCAACCAAACGGGGGTCCGGGAATCCAAAGCCGAGCATACTGTGGACAGACGAAATCCATTTCGCACCACTGTTGTGGAATCAAGGGGTTTATCCAATCACTTCTGTGATACAAGGGAATCTCCCCCTTTATATGGGGTGTTAGTCTTTGGGAAGCCCTTTTTGTTGTGTCACAGAAGTGGTCATTTCCCACAACCCTGCACCACCTTTCAGACACCCCTGGGTTTCTGAGGATTCCCCATCGTAAATACCAACAGCCAATGGTAGTGGTTTCGACCATGGCTTCAAAGTGGTGCAAGATGGACTTCGTCACCAGCGACAACCCTGCACCCTGCCCAGTCATTCCATTTCCCCACGTAATCAAGGGACGCCTATGGAGGGGGAAATCGTTGGTTTCCTACTCTAGTGGCTATCAAGGGAAGCACCCTTGAGCAGGGCTCCTTTCTTGATACATTTTGCCCAATTGAAACATGGCTTTTTCCTCAAAATAAAGCGAAACCACAATTTACAAGGCAATGCGCAGGTGTATAATGTAAGGATCCCTGTTGAGCAAAAGTCGTTGGTTTCCAGTGGCATGCCTGGGATCCGGGTTTCAGGTGCTGGTGAACTGCGCTTTGACGGAGCCCAGCGCCGGTCTGCCGGCGCTGCGCCTCTCGACCTCTCAACTCGACTCGCTCGCTGGGACGCGCGCTCTGACGCGGGGCCCGGTGGGAGGCATGGTCCGGCCGCCCAAAACTGGGAAGCCCCCCAAAGCACACCCAAGTTTTCACAACAAACCGAAGTTCCCCCACCAAAAGCCGGGAAAACCCACAAAAGGTGTCCCATCCAAAACGGGAGGCTTGCTTCATGTTGTCTCACATGAGGTTCGGTCGACATAGTTTGGAAGAACCTTATTTCTAGAAGACGGTTTGGATCTGGCTTTTCTGGATCCACCCTGTAGGATATTGAAAGAGTACGAAAAGAGTACTAAAACTGAACCAACAGGGGGAAGAACTGGTGAAATCCACAACAAGCGCATCCAAACCCTTTTCTACATTCATACTTAGAGCGTGGTGGGAGACTGTAAGATCAAGTTATGCTCATGGAGGATGGGCAAACTGCTTGTCTCACGTGGGGTATTGCAAGTTTTGACCTCATACAAATCCTGACCCGAGATCGAGCCGGGCAGTGTCCAATGTCCCGAAGCGGGTTCCGCTGCATATGGTGATGTTTGGAGGGTCCTTTCTCCGGTTGCAAAGGAATGGGATTTCTTAGGGTCCTTCCTTTGGTGTCAAAGCGGATGGGTTCGGGCTTCTCTTCAGAAAGCATCCAAAGGCTTTGGTCGCCCCCAGGGCGGGATCGGATCGGATCGAATTTGCGCGCTGGAAGCTTTTCAGGTCGGGACTTCCCCCAGGCGGTGTGTTCCTCGTGGCTTTCCATTTAGACCAAGACAGGGGTAGCATGTCCAAGAGAGGCCCGCCCATTTCGCGGTTTGGCAAGGAACCCGTGGATATGCCCTCGCAAGTTTGGATCTAGCCCATGTGTGTCCCAAAGCAACCCCCAATGGTAGTTTTCAACTGTTGCTTTCCAAGTGAAAAGGGTACCCGCAAAATCAACAAGCATGATAAGCGTTTTTGAATCTCAATCACCCGAAAGGGTTCACAACTTAGAGACACATCCCTTACTGTTCTCAAAAGGAAAGCCCTCAAACAATACACAAACCAGCACCCTCCCCCAACCGTTTTTTCTGCCGAAAACCCCAAGCGCAGCGGTCGTTGGTGGGGTGCACGTAAGCAATTCTTTGTTGGTTTCCCTTTTTGGGAGCACTGAAGCGCGTTTGGTTGCCAATTTTGCATCCCCCGGAGTCTGTTTGTCCAAAGGGGGTAGGACAGATTTCAAGACACTTCTTTTTGGGGAACCCCAATTTGGGGTTCGCAGTGCTTGGTTATATCTTTCCAGATTCCAATCTTGGTTCCCAATTGTTGGTCCCAATGGTCGTGGTTCCAAGTTCTTTCAAGGTTCTGATTGGTTGCAAGAAGCTGAGCCAAAGCGCAAGACCATCTCCAGGTTCCCAACCCCCACCTCCCCCCCAGATCATCGACCTATTTGTGTCTACCTCCGCCCCTTCCTTACATCACCTTAACTTGTATTTGTTTGGATTTGTGGCTCAATGTTTTTCCCAAGCCAGGACCAACCGTTTCGGCGTGTTTCGGCTTTCGGCGTAGCATTTTTCAAGAAGGTGCCATTTTCGCTCTACCAAGGTTTTTTTTAAGCCACAGCCCTTGGTCTCACCGAAAATTCCCCGGTTTTGGACGGAACCCGCCGTTTCGGCTCCGGTTTCGCTCCAGCGGCGGGTTTCGCGTTCGGAGCGCTGGGAGCATCGAGGCCATTGGCTGCAGTGTCTGGGCCTGGGGCGCCGGGTGCTGAGCTGCAGGCGTGGTCGTCGAAGCCGGAGGTTTGTTGGGGGAGGTGGTGTTTTGTGTTGTTTTTGTTGGGTGTGACGGATAGTTTTTGTGGTTTTTCAAGGTTTCGCCCCGAAAAGACTTTGTTTTTCTTTTTTTTAAGGTCTAGGGTGTGACTGTTTTTTTTTTAAAGGGTCCAGGGTGTGAGGGAAAGTGGTCTGTGGGTCCAGGGTGTGACGTTTTTCTTGGTTGTTAAAGGTTTCACCCCGCAAATGGGTGGGTGGGGGGTTGTACCCTTTTTTTTAAGGGACAGGATGTTCGTTGGGAGGGAAAGTGGTCTGTGGGTCCTCTTGGTTGACGGGACCCCCAAAAAATGGGTGGGGTGGGTGTGTTTCGTATCGGGATTACCAACTCAAAAAAAAACCAGTTGCCCGAGTCAACTCGGGAAGGATGTGATGTAACTTTTCTAGGGGTTGATTCCCTATCGTTCTTTTCAAGCACCAGCTTGCTTCCCCGTTGGAAAGAATGGGGAGGCTTCTCCTAGAACTTTGGAAGCAACAAGTCTCAATCCTGGCAACTGCGTTTCAAACATTCCAGTGTCATTCTTGCCCAAACCTCCGTCCCTCTCTGTCTCTCTGTCTCACAAAAGCAACCTCTGGATTGGTGGCTTATCCCATATCCCATTCGGTCTGTTTATAGGATTTGCTCCCCCCAAAAAAGAAACTAAAGTAAATAGAATAAACATAAGTAAATAAAGCAATAAGATTAGAAAAAAAAACATAAATTAAAAATAAAATAGAATAAAATAAAATAAAGTAAAATGGCACAGCGGCGTTCCTCTGGTTGTCAATCCGACCAAAGTTCCACCAAAGCGCCAATGAACCAGGCCGGCAAGGCCTCAAGGCCTCGAAGCTGCTCAAGGGGTGTAGCCCTTTGCGAGGCCCGGGACCCGTCCCTGGGTGAAATGTGGGGACTCAGCCCACTTAAGGGGCCAAAAAAAGCCGCCCCCTATGAATAAACTGGTGGGTTTATATAACTTTGGCGCATCTTGCCAAGGGATGTTAGGACTGCACCCTGTTTGCCAACTAATGGGTTTTCCGTATTAAGCCACCAAAAGTTAAAAACTTGTGGCAAGGAAGCACAAAGCAACCGTTTGGCGTGGCTTCAAAAGGAAACAACGGAAAAGCAGCCATTGTGGGTGTACCCGAATTGTTTTTCAGACACCAGAATCATGTCGTGAGTTGTCCCGTAAGGAAATCGAGGGATGGGCAATCCATAACTTTTGCAGGCACCCCAGTTAGCACCCCTCGGGCACGATTTGTAGTTGGCCTTGCGAGCACAGCTCAATACGAGCACCTGATGCTAGGTGTGTTCCTTTTTTGTCTTCTGCTCGTTTCGGGAGAACGGGGAGAGTACCTGAATTCTCCGCGAAAACTCGCTCCCTGTGATTTCAGGACAACAACCGCTGAGCTCCTCAACTGAAAAACAGCAGCAGCAAGTGGTGTCCATGGCTCGCATGAAAACAACATCAGTTCAGCTCTTCATGTCGGAGGTGTTTTCTCTTGACCAAAGGGAGCGCAACTGATCTCGTCCACTTCGTTTCAATCCTTGGTGCCTGGCAGCTGCGTTTTTTCCCCAGTGAAACCGCGGCATTGGACTCCAAGTGCTGGGCAGGGCTTTGCCGGCCCCATGTGCAGTTCTGAAAAATCCGCTTCACAGCTAGGTCCCCCAGTAGTGCCCTTTCTCGCCTTTTTGTGGGGAGGGTTCCGTTACTAAAATAGACTACAGAAAAAAATACCCTTATTCTAACCTCTCTACTGGAAGACCTAGTGGATCTTGTCTGAGTCGGCAGCCCATTTTCGAGAGCTCCTGTCAGTTCCTGTCCGCAAACCTGAGTTCTTGCTGCGCTGAGCGTGACCGAGGGCTTCATCTTTTTGGTGAATGTCTTAGTCTGGTGCGTCACTGATTGGTGCTGAATCCCAAGCGCGTGGCACGCAGTGCGCCAGTTCTGGTTTTCTCGTTTGGCAGGTGTGTGTGTGTGTGCGCGTGTGTGCGGGCTCCTGAGCAGATGCCCTTGAGAACTGCGTTTTGACCCACGGCGAAATACACAGTGGGCCAACTTCCGCTTGACCTGAAAGCGGTATCACGGAAGTGGACAGGCATTCCACGTCTGATTATCTGATTGTGAGGCACACAAGTCCCAGGTTCTCGGAAAGACTTCAAGAGCCTGTGACCAAACTCCTGCAGAAAGAAATAGGACCTGGATGAATTATAACGACCTCACACGACCTCACCCCAAATGGTGGTGTATGTGGGGAATAGCCCCCCAACCACCGCAAGTTTCAGGTTGGTGAAATATTATAATTCACCCAGATAAGACGCCTAGTGATTCTAAACCATGGATTTTGCCGTGGCAGCCCTAGAAAGCGCGTTGCCAGGAAGGCGCTTCATGCACCTCGGCATGGCTTTGATTGGTGAAGAGCACTCCAATTGGGTCTGTCTGTTTTTAGAGGGCCCACCTCCCCAACAAAATGTTGGTTTTCCTTTGGTTTCCCGTCCAAACCCAAACAAGTGGTACCCTCAAAACAAAGACACACGCACACACCCATTTCGATGTCCACCTCAGGTGGTTTTGAACGGCGACGTTTCCTGCAAGCGAGGTACCTTTTGACCCCCATGTTTGGTTGAATCAAGGGACTGCCTGAGGAGGGCGTCTCCACCTGTTTCCAACCAAAAAGGGACTCAAAAGACAAACCCTTCAACTGCTTTGGTATTTCCCTTTTCGAGAAGCATTCAGCATGGCAGTTTCATGCTGGAACTTTAACGGGTTGTCACCGTTTGTGTGACAATGTTTGGGCTGAGAAATATGCAGCCCCTGCAAAAATAAGCTTCTGGTTACTTGGCTCCTAGATGTCTGGACAATGCAGACATTCGAACACTCACTAGACCCATCGTCATGACAAGGGCAACACGTTGAGCCTTCTTTAACGGGCCAATAGCCACACGGCCTAGATCATGCTGGTGTTGTCTGCAGGTTTTCAACTTCTTTCTCGCGTCCGAAGTCAAACGGCAAAATCAAACGGTTTGGGCCTCGTTTGGGGAAAAAAGCAAATTACCAACGGGCCAACGGGGCAGCCAAAAAGCTGCAGCACCGGGAGAAATCAACATTGCAGGGATGAGGTGGGCCACTGTCATTGGCTGTTGATTGGAAAGGTTGGACGCCTTCTAAGGGAACTCGGCAGTCCTCCTAATTTTTACTCCAGCGGGGGAGTCAAGCTTGTGGAAGCTTAGGGGCTCAATCCGGGGGATGTCCCTGACGTGTAATCGCAACCAATGGGACACATGGACCTGAGCCTACACTCATTTGGGGGGCAACAAATTTTTGAGGCTCCCCTTTTTGGGCCTTGTGTAAAGACCAACTCAAGGAAAACCACTCTTCTCTCTTTTTTTTGCTTGGGGGGACAAGTGAGGGAAAACCACCCTTCTTTGTGTTTTTTTGGCGGGGGGGGGGGGGAGCTCCTTTTTTTTTGGGGGGGGGGAGGAGACAAAGACCCCCCATTTGACGCATCTGCGCGAAGGCTGGAAGAGACGTGCCCTGCACAACTGTCACCCTTCCATCCCAGGCGAAAACTTCCCACCCATGAAGGGTCGGGGATTACGAACAGGGGCTTGAAACCGATCAACATGCCCTTTCTTTAGGTTATTTTTCCGAAAAACCCGTATGGAATGTTGGTGGCTGCAGGTATTTTATGTCCACCAACTGTGCAGTGAATCGCAGAAACGCAACAAACAGGTTCAAAAAGTTGCCCTTAGCGCCCTTCACAGAGACGAGAAGATTGTTTCAACAGTAGCGGGGGATTAAAGCATGTTTTTTTGGGAAGCTTCCCCATTCTTTCCAGAGATCCTTCCTTCAGGAAACCCTCCAAAACCCAGGTTGGACACAGCCGGTTGAAAAGACCGATGGGTTGAAAAGAATGGAACCGGAATCACCCCCATAGAAAAGCAAAACCACTTACTTCCCGAGTTGACTGGGCCAAATGTTTTGTTTTTTGAGTTGGTGCCCCTTTGGCACGCCAAACGAACACTCACCCACCATGTTCGGGCTTCCTTCCCCATTCTTTCCAGGGGTCCTTCTTTCTGGAAAACCACCCAAAACCCTGGGGAAATGGCGATCTGTGTTTGAAAAGAACGATGGCTGAAAAGAATGGACAAGGAATCAACCGCTAGATTCTGTTAGTTTCTCGGCCAAATTGTTTTTTTTTCTTTTTCCAGTCGGTGCCCTCTTTGGTATATGAAAAACCCACCCACTCACGGGTTTCCTTGGAGGAGTTTTTTCTTCTTTCCTCCGAGGCGGTGGTCTTCACGGAGGACTGCTGCGCGGCGCTGCGGAAGGGCATGAAGCTCTTTCAGGAGATGGCGGGCGTATCGGCCGTCGGCCATGGGTTGCCTAACCTATGGCGAGCCATTTTGGGCAGGGCTCCTTAAAAGATACATGTTGCAACCATTTCAACACCAAAATAAAGGGAAACCGCAATTTACAAGTTGCAATGTTCAGGTGTAATGTTGGGGAGTGATTAATAAAGGGCCCCCCCCTCAAACAAATTGGGGGGGGGTCAATAGCGAGAACCCCCAAAAACAAAATGGGGGCCAGACTGGGACCTGCCTGAGTAGTTTTCCAGTAAGTATTGTTTAGAATTGGTTTAGTATTGGTTTAGTATTCCTTTGAGCTGGCTCACTACGGTTTAGAATTGGTTTAGTATTAGTTCAGTATTCTTTTCAGTTGACTCACTACAGTTTAGAATTGGTTTAGTATTGGTTCTTCTTCTTGGCAGGCTGCCCTGACCAATTTTGCTTTCACAATTCCCTACCCTTAAACAAACTGCATTATTGCCTTCCTGGGGTTCCGTGTGCCACCCCCTTGAAAATTTGTCAGGGTGCATCTTCTAGTAAAGGGATTGATAAGGAATTTGGTGGTTTGGGACAGGAAGCAATCCAGAAATTCTGGACATTTCTGGCTGGACTCAAACGTTTCAACCCTCAAAAATAGTCCATTCTTGGAAGGGGACATATTTTCGGGATTTCGGGCATATTTTTTTCTGTAATACCTACTCTTTTTGCTTTTCAGGAGAGTGAATAGTTTTGAGATTTTTTTCTGTATTCACTCCCGTTTTATTGATCGCTATCTAGCATTATATTTTAATATTGTAAGGATCCCTGTTGAGGCGGAGGACCACCTATTTGGATGTTCACCAGGGGTTTCCTGGATTGTGATCCACAGCCATATCGGCCATCGGCAGATGGCGCTTGGTCTCGGCAACCGTGTGTTCAACGTCTTGCCCTTGGCGCCAGGTGTTTTCCCTGATCGGCAGGCTGATCAATGGTTTCAAAAGGCGTCTTCAACATGGAAAGCCCTTTGCTTTCTTTCACAACATGTTATACCTTGATAAGTTCGACGTGCGGTTTTCCAGATCTTCTGCGACTCCGTTTTGTTGGTCGGCACGCCAAGTGCTTGTTTGTGTACGCAGCAAGCTGCATCTGGCTTTGCCTGTTCCCGTGGGGAGGGGGTGGGTGGGCTATATATTGGGAGTCTGGATCTCAGCAGGCGCACGTTTATCCTAGGGTGTGTTGTCCAAGTCAGGTGGATCATGCTGGTTGCATTCGTTGCAGTTCAGCATGTCTGCCATCAACGCCAAACTTTTCCGGTCCACCTATGCTTTTGCCATACCCCAACCCGATGTTCACAGCAGCCATTGCAGGCGGGGGATTGCATTTTGACTCATCAGAACAGTTCCGCGCGCAGCCTACTAAATTATTAGCAAAACATGCGGAGGTGTATGTTAATCTGGGAAACTCTCTATGGTGGACATAAATCTGCATACACATGATGTTAACAGGGTCCCCAACTAGAATGCATGCCCACATGATAATCAGTTTTGGTTGAAAACTGGCGCCGATTGGAAGAGTGAACCTTTCGAGCATGGTGCAGCATGGTCATTCGCCACATACAAAACATTAAGCAAGGGCTACTCATCCAAAATCCAATGCTAGAGGAGACAATGAGTATTGACTGTGGCGCATAATTGCGCCTTTTGATCAAACTTGATCAAGCTACGAGAGTGATGCGAATTCTTTGGGCAAGCCGCACACTAACCCAATGTGGTCTGTCATGTTCTATAATAGCCCCCCCAAAAGAAACACCAATAAAACCAACAAAGGCCTCGGTGTTCCTGTTGGTTTCCCGTCAAAATCGAAGCCAAAAGACACATTCGCCGATTCGCCGATTTGCCACGCCGAGCCACGCCGAGCCACGCCGAGCCACGCCGAGCCACGCCGAGCCACGCCGATTAGAGGATGTCTACAGCAGCTACCAGAAGCGGTTTCGCCTGGCCGAGACGTCAGGCTTGAGCCTTGGCAATCGTTTTGTTTTTTGTTCTTTCTTTTCTTTCTTTTTTTGGGAGGGGGGGGGTGGAAGGAAGGGGAGGCTCTCACTTAAATTTGGAAAGCAACCGTTCTTTTTTTTGTGGGGGGGGAGGCTCCCACCCACCTAGATGCGTTATATCGCAACGGGGCAACATCTTTTTCAGGACTAAAACATGCCATGAGGAAACCAGAAGGCTTCAGCGCCGTTCGAAGCTCGCTGTGACTACCCCCAAGTCGTTTCTCGGTCTCGCGGGGCTTCGGAAACACCTAAAAATCAATCACCAAACTGGCGGAAACCCCAAAGTGGAAGAGAAGTGGAGGAGCTTCTTTTTTCTTTTTTTTTGGGGGGGGGAACCCCAAAGTGGAAGAGAACCAAGTCACTGCCGAAGTGGAGGAATTTTTGTTTTTTGGGGGGGGGGAGACGCAGAAGGTCAAAAAATGGGGGGAAGAACCAAAATAGAACAAGTACCAAAGTGGGCGAGCCCCGAAACTGAGCAGACAAGAACGGTATCAAAAAGGGTGCAAACCCCATTTTAGAAGAACCGAACTGGTACTGAAATAAGCTTAAACCAGAGGTTTCTCTTTTGGGGAAATCAAGTACCCCTGTCCTCCTGTCTGGGTGGGTGGGCTTGATCCTGCGCACGTGACTGAATCGGAGAACCGGTGGCGAAACAACAATCCGGGGCCCTGGTACAACGTGGAATCCTGGTTCTGTGCAGGGAATGAGGGAATGCCCGTATGAACCATCCCCCGCGCTTTCCTTTATTCGGGAATCCCCTTCCGGTTCATTCCCAACACCCGGACTCGTTGTCATGTCCTACCTATCGCACCAGCAGGATGACTTGTGGGGCCCTACTTACATGGTCTTGGATTTTGCAAAGTCAGGCAACCCTGGTGGCAAACCCACCAAAGCCATGGTTGCCCCTATAACCAGGCTACTATCCACTTAGCTCACTCCAAAACCATCTAACAAGTGGAAGTTTCTGTGAGGCCCAGTAAAGACTACCCCTGGGTTTTGGGTGGGTTTTGGTCCTGGAAGTTCCAGGGATTACCTGTGTGTTTTGGTCCCGCCCTGGAAAGGTGACTAATTTTGGGCCCGAAAAAACGCGGAAGCCCAGGATGTCCTTCAACGCCTGGGTGCAGTTCCTGGCGGACTGCCCGGGCTACTCCGCCGACAAGGCCTCCTTTGCCCTCGCCAAGGCGCGGGGCGCGGATCCGTCGGGCTGGGGCGCGGCCGTCGGGGCGGGAACCTTGCTCAGGGAACGAGGGAAGGAACCTAGGTTCCCCAGTAGTGCCCTTGTACCCTGTTTCGGGGGGAGGGTTCCCCTGCTAAAATAGACTGCAGAAAAAAAGCCTACCCTCGTTCTAACCTCTCTAGTGGAGGACCTAGGAGCCCAGGGGAGGGGTTATTCCATTTCTCATTCCCTACCTAGAGCACCAGTACGCTTCCCCTGGTTTCAATTACATCACCTTTTCCAGGGAACGAGGGAATGAACCCAAAAGTACGGGGGGTCCTTCCATTCCCTCATTCCCTGAGCAGTAAGTTTCTCCCGGGTTTCAATGACATCACCATTTTTTTCGGCCATAGAAATAGGCAAATTGTTTCTAGGTACTTTTCTTGTTATTTGTTTTTTTCAAGCCCAAATGAGCCGGAAGGCGCCCAGCGAATCCTTGGGTGAAAAACTGTTTGGATGCTGTGAGTTGGTTGAGCGGTTGGGTGTCCGTATCTCACCCACCAAAAGGTGCAGCTTTTAGCGAGGGATCGGTTTGGACAGCCCAAAAAACGCGAAGTTCCGTCTGGTGCGAGGTTCCAAGGAGAAGTTGTCTTCGGAGCCCTACCGAGCATTTCGCCCGAGTTCGGCGGATGGTGCAGACCCTTAAATTCGCCCGAAATCGATCCTTGAGAAGGGCTTTGGGCCAAACCCTTCCCAATGGAGATCCGTAAGGGCTCCGGACCAATGATGCGTCAAGGATGTTGTGAAACTCACGGGGCATATATGTATAGGAACCTGAAGGTGATATGTCGTTGCCATGTTGAATACCCCCCTCGCAGCGACTGGCTGATTTGGAGGATCGAGCTTTTCTGAATCAGGTGGATCTTGAATGTATCTTTGTCTTTTGGTCGCTGCCGTTGCCCCGAAGCCTCTTCAGGAATCCACATCTTCTTTCAGGGTGAAAAATATCCAAGTGGTCTCATCCCCTGGTTTATTCCCACTTGCTTCCTCTTGGAGCACGAAGGGCGGGCCCTCCCATTCGCCTTCGCAGTGTGTTGGCCAAAGTACGGCACATACGTGTCTTGCAGGTGGTTCGAGGGTACTCAAAAGCTTGGCTTTGGCCAATCCGTGAGACTTTTGAGGGTATCCACTGGCCGTGGCATTTGAAGGGAAGCCAAAAAAGCACCGCCACGGTGGGCCCATTCCAAAGCGAGCGAAGCCCTGCTCTTCGCTTGGGCTCTTGCCCGGGCAGGCCGCAGAAAGCGGCAGGGACTGGCAAGACTCGCCTCCCATAGGGACCGGAGGGACCATGAGGTAAACCCCGGGCTTTTCGCTGCAACTCCCCGGTCGGATCGGATTGGATTTTTGGTAGTTGGATTGATTTGGACCTCCCGAAATGCTGGCTTTCCTCTTGGTGTCACTTGAACACCAACAAGGGTACCAGAGCGGCACCCCTATGGACCAGAATCTAAAGATCATATTCTTTGTATGCGGCAGAGTTGGGCGAAAGATGAGTTGAGCTCACGTGAAGCTTCTGGTCTGTCCATTTCTTTTCAGGGGGTCTTTCACATCTCCCCTACTCTTGGGGAATGCGTAGTTCTTCGGGCTCTTACACATCTTTGTCCAGTCGAAGTCTAAGGTTCTGGTCATGAATTTCGAGCCGGGGGTCAAATGTTTTATTTCCGGTTCCATAAGGGGCAAAAAAACCAACCCCCCTCGCGCGGACGTGGGAGGAAGAGTTTTTCCCCCCTTCGGTTTGGATTGGCGGGATTTTGAACCCGAAGCCAAACGGGCTCCTTCATATCCAAAGCACCACCGAGCAAAGCCAAACCAATGACCGCAACCCACGTTGGAAGCTGTGGGAAGGCCCCAAACCACGGGGGCATCCCATCCACCCCTTTTCAACAGAAAAGCAACACACAAAAAAAAGCAAAAAACGTGGAGTTTGTGTAGGTGGTCTGCCCCAAAACCGAGAAAAAAAACATCCTTGCCAAGGAAAATTCAGTAAGGCATGTGCGATTCCAGGAGATCTCCGTAGATCAGCACCGGCACTTGCGGCACATGGCGCTGAGCTTCTGGGCGACCAGAGGGGCGTTTTCGGTTCGACGAGTAGCGGGGGATCTGAGGACAGCCCGGGAATCACATTGTAGGGGAATCTGTTTGGGGGCAACCATCCACAGTATGTTTAGCCAGCTTCCTCTTGGTTTCCCTTCCCCTTGTGAAAACCGACTTCTCCAAGCCTGGCGCCAGCCGAAGCGGCAACACGGGCGAAAGTCTTTCGTGGGGAATCTGTTTGGGGGCTGGATTGAAGGGAGACCACAAGGAAGCCACGCAGTGTTCCAGGGGTGCCTTGCATGTCCGCATTCTTTGCAGGGATCCGGATCTTTTCAGGAAACCATGAAAAACTCAGGGGAAACAGCTGGCTTTTGAAAAGAACGATGGTTGAACAGAATGGAAAAGGAATCAACCCAAGGCTGTGGGTCAAAAATAGCAGAATTATGGACCTCGTGCTTGCAAGTAACTTATTCAGATATGAGGTCCGTCGTGGCAGTCTCTCGTTTGGAAAGACTAATTTGGTTGATCTGAGAAAGGGTATGTGGCAAAAGAGGGGCACCACCCCAAGGAACTATGTGGGTTTCCTGCTGGATTCCCGGAAAAAAGAGAACAAACAACAAAAGTAGAAAAGAGCACCCGCATCATCCACTGAGTGCTGCGGCTGCCCCTCTACCAATAGTCGCCCAGGAACCACCAAGGTTGACCTACTACTCCTTGAGGTACCCTCCCTCCAACAATCATGGGAGCGTACAGGAGGATTGAAAAACGACAGCGTTTCTGTTTGGAAAAGCCCGCCCCCGTCTTTGCTAATGTTGCAAGACATGTTGGGGGGAACCCGCTTGTCCCCGCTTTTCCGTGAATCCGTGGTAGGGTTCCCACCAAAAAAGTCGGGGATCCCAAATCAATTGTCTTTGTGGCTATTGGGTTGGATCTTTGGACTTTAACCTGTTGGTTGAATCAGCTGGGATTTTCCGACTTGGACCCACAACCTTCTTGCGGAGGGGTCAACAGCAACCAAGAAAGGTGTTCCCTTCAACCACGCCGAACAAAGGGCGAAACATGAACCTGAACAAAAAGGGGTTTTGACATGAACCTGCAAAGAAATGAAGGGTCGCACTATGTTTCGCCAGCTTCCCTCAGTTGTTCAGTGGCACCTTTTTTCCCCCTTTTGTTTGGTGGCCCCACTAAGAATGGTCTTCCCCAAAAAGGGTTCCCTTTTTTTTCCAGGCAAATCCTGCACCACCTAAGAAACCCCGCAATGATGCTTCCCCTGCAAATACCAACAAACAATCATTTCAACCATGGTTTCCAAGTGGTGCCTAAGAGGATGTCGCAACCATCCAGTATTAGCCAGCTTCCTCTTGGTTTCCCTTCCCCTTGTGAAAACCGACTTCTCCAAGCCTTGTGCCAGCCGAAGCGGCAACACGGGCGAAAGTCTTTCGTGGGGAATCTGTTTGGGGGTTGGATTGAAGGGAAACGTTTCTAGGGGTGCCTTCCACTTCCCCATTCTTTCCAGAGATCCGGATCTTTTCAGGAAACCATCAAAAACTCAGGTTGGACACAGCCGGTTTTTGGAAAAGAACGATGGTTGAAAAGAATGGAAAAGGAATCAACCTGCCGTTATTTGAAAGCACACGCATTTGCAGATGAGTGCGGAGAGAATCAAGTGCGTGGTCTCGACTACGCCCCACAACCGCACCACTACCGAATCGCCCTAAGCGTGGGGTGATCAAGCTTTGTTGCATTTTGCTTAGATGCGAATGGGTTTTCCATTAAACCACTAAAAGTTAAAAACTTTTAGCAGGGCTTTGCAGAAAGCAACCGCGTAAGGCTGGAGCGAGTTCCTGGTGGCGGTGGCTGCAGCGGTTTGGTTGGAGCCCAGTTCAGGTTCCAAGGAGCTGCCGGACAGGCGCCTTTGTGAGTTCAAGCCCGTGAGGAAAGCACAATATTGGGTGTGGGTCAAAAATCCGGAACCCCAAAATGGCTTGCACCCTGGCAAAGGACCACCACGACTAAAACCTGCGGTCCAACACACCCAGGGCCAGCTCGGTTCCCAGGATCCCATCCGGTTCCTTTGGCTCCTTGAGCCTTTTTCTTTTCGTGGGTGAAGTGGCTGGGTTTCCGTTTCCCAAAGAAACCCGGCAAAATGAGCATTTTGTTTCGCAGATCGCTGGGTTTCCCAAAGAAACCGGGGCAAAAGTTGGGTTTTTTTTTTTTTTTTTTTCGCAGCGGATCTGCAGATCTGCAGCCCGGCGAAATATTTGCAGACAGGCTGCAGACTTAGTGGGTTGTGATCGTGATTACCAGTCGCCCAGGTTGTGCCTGACTGACCCAGTCTGAACGCCCAAGATTGTGTGGTGTTTTCAGCTATGGCCTGAAGAAATGCGTTGGGGACTTGGCCAAACAAAAAATCCGTTTTGAGCCGTTTTGAAAAAGCCAGACCTGCCCTGTTTTTGTTTTTTTTCTTCGGGGTGTCCCTTTAACGAAAGTTTTCCGCCACTAGCCTGTCTGGGGTAAGACAGGCTGAAGAACCCGAGCCGTTCCGAAAGAAGAACCCCTGGAGGTCTCCAAACACATGGCGAGGTGGGTCAAAGATATGTAGCCAAAATGGAGCCAAGGGCTACCTGCATTCGAAACCCTGGTGAGTCTCTTCATGCCCCATACTCTTTTTTTTTTTTCTGGATGTTCGGGCAGACGAAACCAGACATCATTTTCCGGTGTACAGATGTGGGCTTGGGCCCAAACATTCAGAACCCTAAGATCGAATCGGTCCTTGGAGCAACGCGAGGCCACGAAATAGAAAAGGCCGGTAGATGGGGGTTGAGGCTACCCGTGCTTGTGTTGTTTTCTTGAGGGACTGCCAGGCAGAAAAGCCAATCCGCAGCCATAGTTAGAGAAATCCATGCTATCCTTTGGCCTGACCGGGGGGAGGGGTTCGCCTCGAAGGAGGGTGTTTTGCACCAGGGTTCTCCATTTTTGGACTACCGCAAGGTAGACTTAAAACCAGGGGTGGTTGATTTGCCAAAGCAAAGCCCTGGCTTTGTCAAGGGCAACCCCTAGAAGAGAAAACCAGCTAACCGTGGTGAATCATTCCCAGCGAGCATTACAAAGGCTTAGTCAAGCATCGAGATGGGTATGTGTCAAACTTACCCCCCCCCCCCCCCCAAATCTTGGTGGCTAGCCGTCCGGTTCCTTCGCTTTTAAGCTTTTCAGGTGGTTTAGTGGGGGGTTCCGTCAAACCAACTAAAAGTTGAACTTTTACGATGACAGCCCTCAAATGGTGGTGCTTCTTTTGATGTCCCTTTAAACCAACCTAAAAAGGGGGTACCCTCAACAAAACCACACCCAGATCATGACACTGTTTGGAGAGCTCTCTTGCTTTTGAAAAGCTTTCACATGGACCGTGGCTTTGCCAGTGCTCCATTTGGACCCAGCTCAAGTGTGCGCTTGAGACATTGTCAACATGTGGATTTCTCTTTTTTTCGGGGAACCTCGAAAATGGAAATGTCCCTTTCAAAAAACCGTCAAGCAAGCAGTGCCCACTTCAACAAAAGTCGGCGAGCCATGGGAATGTTGGGCCTCCCAAGGTCGGAGCAACCACGTTCTTTGGCTTCCCTGGCCTTTGGCACCTGCTGGTTGTAGGGTAAGTAGGCGATTCCCCGATTCCCCACCCAACCAATCCCACGCAGGAAGCGGAGTGTATCCGTATCCGATGTCCGAACCCAAGTTCTGCTCGCAGGAAGGGAGAAGATGGGACTTGTTGGTTCTGATCTCTTTTTGCCAGGGCTGTCAACAACCATAGTGGGCGGGTTCTGGAAGTCTCCAAGGCTATCTTATGGTGTAAGACTATAGGCTGAGAATGAAACGGAATCAGAACATGGTACGACCATCTACTTTCCTTGGAATCACTGGAGTTTTCCCAAACGACATGCCTAAGCATCAGAAAGGAGCCTACACTGGAAGCCTCATCCCACTTGGAAGGCGTTTAGGTTCCAGGGTTGGGGCCTGAAAGAACCAAAGGCCCATTTGAACGGTCCAAAACGGTTGAGTCAGGTTCTCTGGCAACGTGAAAGTCCCCAGCGTCGCTCGCTGCGGCGTAGGCTTCTAGACTTCGTCCTGGATACGCTGCCTGAGGCCGGAAATGGTTCTTGTTCTGGCTGGTCTTTGGTATGACTCCAAAAGGCCCTTAGACCTTTCAGAAACAAATGGGTGCGTATTTGTTTCGGGGTGCCTTTCTTTTTGTGGTTTTGAAGGAACACGGGCCCAAAATGGCTTTCCTGTTGAGTCGAACGCAAGGTTAGACTGTTTGCTCAACGGACAAGAGCAACCCAGATTGGGAAACCCTGATATTCCTGGTTTTTGCTACCCATTCTCCGAAAAGAAGGATAGAGAAAGGGAGAAGTGCAACTAGAACAGTTGCAGCTGAGTAAATGAAAAAAAAAACAAACAACATATTTGTGCCTTTGGCTCAGAAGGCCCCCTTTCCTTGGAAAAAAATCACATGTAGCCCTGTTCGCTCGAGAAAACAAAAAATAGAGGAAAAAACAACAAAAACGCATGCAGCCCTGTTCGCTCGAGAAAAAAGAGAGAAAAAAACACGCATGCAGCTCGGAAAATGCACAGATCTCCGAGCCGGTTTTCCGGTCGGGGTTTCCCGGGCCGGAGGCGCTGCACGCGGGCCGCGCCGCGGAGATCCAGGAGGCCGGCGACCTGGCGAGAGACGACCCGCGGCACGTGGAGCCCCCTAGCCACAAGCGGGGCGACTGCGACAGGGAGGGGAGGAGGCAGGCGGTAGTGTGTTTTTTGTTTTTCTCGAAAGGGTAAGAAAAAAAGGAGACATATGTCCAAAATGGGTTGCCCTGGGAGCAAAACCCGCGGTGTTTGGTTTGTGGTTTAAGTTGTGCGGGTTGGTAATTCTTGCTGTGGGTGAAAAAAAGATACCCTTCCTCCCACGAACACAGCACCTGTGAGAGGGTACCTGGAAGATATTTTTCCTCTTCAACGGACCCTCTGTCAGGCGCCATGCTAGTGGGAGGGAGGGTATCCAAAATGGGTAAGTGCAAACGTGGAGCTACAACCTCCGTTTTTCGTGGTGGTCCTGGTGGTTGGTGACACGTAGATACCCTCCCTCCCACCAACAGAAGGCATTTCTGGGACCTGGAGGATTAGTTTCCTCTTGGGACCGCCCTGTCAGGTGCGGAGGTTGGGTATCCAAAACGAGTTGCCCTGGTAAATGTGGAGCTAAGCCCTGGCTTACTTTGGTGGTCCTTTTTGGTTGTCGAAAAGAAATGGCGATTCCTGGTTGTTCCGGTGTCGGATTTTTCGCCATCTATTTCCCCCAAAGGGGGGGAGGCCACCTAGCCTTAGTTGGTGCTTTTGTTATTGGGTTTGAAGCCCCGGTTCTTGGGGGGTCAACGGGACCCTACCAAACCACCAAACCACTTGGAGGGAAGCTGGGAGGCCAGAGGCCAAGTTTGAGGTCTGTGGCGCTCGATTTGGTCGAAGGTTTGACCATCCCTACCAGCAAGGAAATTCTTGGAGGGCGCACATGGATGAAATTAGGTTTTCGAGCTAGGTGCCCTTTCTCGCCCTTTTTTTGGTGAGGGCTCCGCTACTAAAATAAACTACAGAGAAAACTTGATACCCTTATTCTACCCTCTCTACTGGAGGACCTAGGAAACCAAAACTATGCCAAGCCGTTTGTCTGAACAGAAGTGAGCCCAAAGTCCGCGCGGGTTTGGCCACCCCCCTGGAACCAACATGAAAGCCACCATTCGAGGGGTACCTCCCCCATTCTTTCCAGGGATCCGGATCTTTTCCGGAAACCATCGAAAAAAGCCGGGGAAACCGCTGGTTTTTTGAAAGAACGATGGTTGATAAGAATGGAAAAGGGATCAACCCCTAGAACCATTTCGGGGGACGTTGGCAGTTCGAAGAAAATTTTCATGGAGCAGCGCCTGGGCTCAAACGACCCGATCGGACGTCCAAAAGGCTCGGCTTGGTTTCAGGGACCCCTTGACCGTGGATCAGGCCTCGAATGACACGTAAGCGAAGCACGGGGGTAAGGATTCTTGCAGCCCTTTGCCAGATGGCTGTGGCTCAAAAAACCGGTACCAAAATGGAACCCTGGGTAACCCCTCCTGGTTGATTTTGAGCCACCCCCAGATAGTTTGAAGAGATAGTTTGAATTCCTACAAACTGTTCTCCTTGTGCTCGATTGGTTTGTAGATGAAGGTTTATAAGGGATAGTCCCAGCCATAAATAGGCCCGGCCGCCCTGTCATTCCTCACACGGTTTGGGTTGACAATTGAAATACCAGGTTTTGATTATTGCCGGGGAAACGACCAGCTTGCAGTGGGGGGGCTTGCCCTGACCCTCATAGAGGTCTCTGCTCCCATCTCAGACCGACCCCTCCATACTCAATTCGGCACCCTTTTTCCTTTTTTGTTGGTGGCTGCCCTACTAAAAGTGGTCTTCCCCAAAAAGGGTTCCCTTTTTTTCCAGGGTCACTGAACAACTGAGAATTGCGTCCGTCCCCTTTTGTGGTTATTAAAGAGAAACCGCCTAAGACTCTTGGGACCTTCCATGGGTGTCCCAAAATGGAGCCCTGGTAAAGGGAGGAGTAGACTAACCCCTGCTGTGCCCTGGCAAACTGATTTTGTGGGCCACCAAGTATAGATCTACACGTTACGGGGTCTAAATGTGGGATTCGGTGCCATGGAACTTGGGGTGATCCCCAAAGGTTCAACCCCGTTACAAGAATAGCAAAGACAAACAATTTGGAGGATGACTCTCCTAACTGGGTTAGCTTTGGTGGCGATATGAATCAACCCCCCCATTGTTTCCATGGGTTGAACCCCAAGGCCAGGCACGATGAAACATTCCCCAAAGCGGAGTTTCTGGGTAGCCCTCTCTGGCTAGGAGTTTTTTTCTGGTACATGTCGCAACTTGAGGCTGGTGAGGCTGGTCACCCGCATCTTCAAGGATGCTGACGTGGACGGATCCGGCCTTCTCACCTCGGAGGAGTTTCAACAGGCCCAGCCGCAAGGGTTTGGCATGGTTTTCACTAGGCCCAGCCAGGTGCCCTTTCTTAACCCCTTTTTTGGTTGGGAGGGCTCCCCTACTAATATAGACTACACAAGAAATCGGGTAGCCTTATTCTAACCTCTCTACCGGAGGACCTAGTTTCTCCAAACAACCAGCCTCTGTTCTAGGGTTCCTTGCCCCCATCAAAAGAACGGCAAAGACCTAATGTCGCTGACAGTCCTGAACCGCAAACAATCGTGGTTACCTAAAAAGAACCCCCCCCAACCCTTGTTTTCATGTGTTTGAACTCCAGAAAGACAAACTTATGTTTGCTCCACCCAACCGTATTTGTTCAGTGCCTCAGCTGTTCAGTGGCACCAATTCTCTTTCCCTTTTTTGTTTGGTGGCCCCACAAAAATTGTCTTTTCCAAGAGGGGTTCCCTTTTTTTCCCAGGGTCACTCAACAACTGAGGATCTGAACCCCAGGCTTTGGCTCGATCCCGATCCCAACGCTTTGGGGTGTAAGTCAGGTGACCTGAGGTCGAATCCGGCCGAATCCGGCCGAAGCCGCAGCCTTCACCTGGTCAAAACCGCTTTGGCATCCTCATGGGACTTCCCAATGGTATGCACCACGAAAGCAAAACACCGCCGAATTCTTGCGGACCCGCGAGATGGGGCTTGGAGACACTTCTAGGTTCAAACACAGTGTCTTCCATGTGGCTGTGGTCAAAACCATTTTGGGAAATCCCAACTTGGTTGGATTGGGTGAATTCACCACCCAGCTTAGAGTTCCTATTTTAGTGGCTGGATTGGGATGTTCACGTACGATTTGGGTTTGACCCTGGCCACCTCAGTTCAGAGAACTTGATACCGTGGTGAAAAATTCGGGTGGTGACAAATTCGGGTAGAAGCTGTGCCCCGGCCAAAAAAAAGCCCTTCGACCCGTTTTTGTTTTGTTTTTTCTTCGCAAGCCCGCCTCAGTCCTTTTGCTCCTTCATTTTGATGAGAAGCAAAGGGGCACTCCCTTCTCCCCAGCGGACTCGCGGGAATCTTTGAAGCGAGCTCAATTGGAGACATCCCTTCGTTTCAGCAAGAAAGCGGGTCAAGCGCCCTGCCTCAGACTGGCGGAGACTTTTTGTGGACCGGGTGCTTCCTTTTGGTGTTCCTTTAAAACCAACTAGAAGGGGGGTCCCCTAAAACGACGATCCGCCCTGCTGCTTAAATTGGGTGAGGTGGATGCCCCAACTTTGGTTCCCGCTGCTGTGGAGACCCTCTTCAAGTTTGCCAGCTGTGCATGAGGTGCATGGAGTGTCAATGTCAAAAAAGAAGACAATTTAAGATATATATATATAATTATGTCCTTTCCAACTTCCAAGACGATGGGTTCCTTTTTGTAAGGCGTTGACACGTCTCTTTCCCTTGGCCCCCCGAGGGACGGCCGGGGGGGGGGGGGGGTGGCAAAATGCGCTCGAGACTGCAGGCGTTTTCCGAGCCCCGGACGTCGGCGGCCTTGGAAGAGTGGCCTGGTGGCAGTGGTTTGGGCTTGATCCCGAGCGGCGGCAATCAGTAAAGGCAAAGACATGTGAAGCGAACCCCCGTGTTGAGTCGGAGGGTGAGGAAGCCGAAAGGAAAGGGGGAAACCAACCTTAAAGCCTGGGCGAGGGGAAGCCAAAAGGAAGCCTTGGGCTTCCTGATTGGGACTCACACGTCAACAACCCAATGTCAGGTATTCTCGGCGAAGGGGAGAAGGTTTGAAGGTTTGGGCAAGCACAAGCGACCTGTCTCCTTAAAGTCGTGCACTTGATCCAGATGGATGTGAGACCTTGCTGTTTCCCTTTGGGAGTCGTGTGCTGAAACTTGTTTTCGCGTTTCACGCAGGGCGGGCCTCCTGACGGGGGATATGAAGCTGCTGTTCCTGCGCATGGATGTGGATGGGTCAGGCCCGGAGGGAACGGAGAGCTCAATGACACCCTCCAAGGAGCCACGAGTCGGGTCGCGGATATCCGCTCTTCTTCACTTTGCGGGTAGACCACGGGTTTGAGTCTGACTCTCTCGACCTTGAGGATATTTATCTTTGACTCTGACCGTGAGGATATCTATTTCAGGCTGGGCAACGTCCTATGGCCCGGGGCTTCGGAAGTACAAGAGTCTCCCAGCGAGCATGGGTTGGTGCCTTCGGACCGTAAGACGACAGACTCCTCTGGGTGAGTTGGCCTTTTTGCACTTCACCCATGTTGGTGGGAGGGTCAGATAACCCTTTGGTTTGGATTGGTGGTTGGCTTGGACACGCTCCTTTTGAAGTGTGGGGGAGGTGCCTTAGGTCCAAACCAAGCCAAACCACCAGCGGCGTATTCACGGGGTTCAGACAAAGGAGTGATCCCTGAGCTTCTTGCCCCTGCGAATTCAGGGGGCTAGACGAACCTTCCTCATGAACTTGGGATGCTGAAATCAGGGTTTAGCATTGGAATGGCCGAGCTCTCAGCTGTGCATTGATTCAGCGGAAACAAACTCTGATTCGACGATTAGGCCCTTTGTTTGCATGATCGATACGTTCAAGAAGAAATATATAGATGTACACACAGGGGGGGCGTTGAAAAGGCTTGTTTCTTTTTGGCCTGGGCACCCAGAGTTTCCAGCAGTTTGATTTCGATGCTTGGATGTAAATATAGCTTGCACGGTGAATTTGGTTGAGACCAACTCACTTCTGAAGGTTTTGAACAGTCTACTTTTTGGGAGGACCGTATAAGCTTCGAACAAGAACCACAGTGTTTGCCACTTCCCTGTATATCAGGTAACCCCGAGTTTGTGGTTTGGATTGGTTGGGGTAATATGGAAAGCCACGCTAACCACCAAACCACCAATTCAAACCGCAGATTGGAGGGACGCTGAGTATTATCGGTAACCAAGGGAATCACCCTTTCAAAGAAAAGACTCGTGCCTCTTCTTATTCTGCCTTTTTTGGGAGATTTGAATCAAGTACCGAAACCAGTGCCCCTTTCCCCTTCGGGACTTCCCCTATCTACCCACATAAGCTCAAGCAATCTAAAGGTACAACATGCTGTTACCTGGAAAAGGTCATATATAGCTGGGCACGGCTAAAAATGCCCCCCGCCGGTTTTAGTCTTTCCGTTTCCCATGGCCATGGGTACCATCCTTCTTTTTTCCCGTGGAAATATCCCACAAGGCAGCCTCACGCTGAAAGAGTTCGTGGAGGGTTTGCTGAAGCTTCAGAACGAGATGATCGTCTTGGAGCCTCGTTCTCTTTTCTTGCTGATAGGGAATGACCGAGTCCGGGTGTTGAATGAACCGGTTTTGGGGCTCCTCCTTAAAAAGGAACCACCCGTTTTCGTTTTTTTTTTTCCCCCATGATCTTTCTTGACTTTCTCTTCTCTTGTCCCAAGTTGGATGGTTTATCTTGGTCATTCCATTTCTCATTCGCTGCGAGCTTGGAGCCTTTGACCTCTTGTTCCCAAGACTCCGAAAATTCGGGGGGTCCCCTGAAAGCCACGAATTCCTCGTGATCACGCCGGTTCTCATATGGTTCTCGGTGTGGGATTCATTTTTCGGGTGGGTTATGTACGCGCCACCTTGAGACTTGGGTTTTGGGGGTATTTAGATGGTCTGGGAGGCATCGCGTGGTTAACTTGGCCCTGGTAAAAACACCAATGCCATGGTTGTAGCGTGAGGAGTGCAAGACTTGCACGAAGGGACACGTTTTTTTTGCGCACAAGCACGGTGTTCATGCCGCCGCAGTGCCATCTCAAGCACTGAATTGTCCAATGACCGGCTTAGTTTGATTTCATCGGCATCGATAACTTGACGTTGGCCCGTTGAAGGCCAATATTGTATGGAGGTCAGAATGGAACGGGAACGTGACTTGAAGGCTTGCGCTCAACCTACTTAAGATACTTAAGTCAATTATACCTTGAAAACGACGGTTGAGATAGCACCCCTTGCTGCTCCTCCCCCGAACGTTGAAGATGACTATCTTGGAAGTGGAATCGTCTTGACCCCTGACGTGCCCGGGAACGCATCTCTCAGTCAGAAGTAATCTGTGAGCACATAAGCTTGCCCTTGCAGCTTGCAGAGTCGCCCATTCTCCAGGAAGAACGCGTCAAATAACCACAAAAGCCTGGGGTTTGGGCTAGCTTCCTGAGAGTTATACAGCTCGGCGATATTTCAAGGTGCAACACGGAGTTTTCACAGACCCTTCTGAACAAGCCAGGCTGAGATCCGGCCAGAGTGTAAACAAAAACCAGAAACTTTGCAACAAAATAATCAGCTTCGCCAAGTCGAATATGAATTGAACCATTCCGTTAAGTGGCTGTTGGTTTTCTGTTGCATTCATCAAATCAGATGGAACCACAAGGACTGGGTTTGGGGTTCCTTCCTAGTTGGGTCCCAGGTTCCCAGGCGTAAGCTCCGTCCAGATCCGGGGTTCCGGCTACATCGTCCCTTTTGGTTTTAGGCATCAGCGGTCAATTCCTTTGGCCTTTCTTTCGAGCTTCCAGGGGACCAACGAATCGCCTTTTCGGTCGCAACACGCCGATTTGAGCTTCCGATGCGAGGACAAGGGAATCAGGGAGGTGCGGAAGGCGGGCGGGAGGAATCGAATCACAGCTCCCCGGGCGAGGGAATATGAGAAGGACACCCTTAACCGCCAGCCCCCCGATCCAATTTTTTACAGGATGGCTGTGGTGGTCAAAACCGTTGTGGGATCCCATTTTGGGGGGGTTTTCGGTGAATTCACCACTGTTGGAACCCATGTTAGTGGTTGGATTGGGATGTTCACTGGGGGTACGGGAATTGGCGGATGACAAAACAAATCCCGTGACGATACAGTTAAAGGTGGTGGGAATATGAGAGGACCCCAAATGTTTGCAGGACAGAAATAAATCCCGTGATGCTGGGGGTGGAAACCATAATAGAAACCAGGAAAACAGGAACGTCTATAGGCGTTTTGGACCCCAAAATGGATCATTTCCTCTAGGGTTCCCCGTAGTAATCCCCCCAAATTGGGGTCCACCATTTTCAGAAACCTGTGTATAGTCATTCCGCCTTTTGATTACCTCAATTCACGTTTCCAGCGTTTTAATGCGAGATTCGCCACTAGCTACCATGTCAGGGGTATATTCAGGTTTCGTCAAAGAAGCCAGTAGTCTATGGTTCATTTGGGCGTGGACGGGGACGAGCTCCAAACCACAAAACCCAGGGGACGAACTCGAATTTTCTCATGTCTTGGAACGAGTGATTTTCCCGTCGGCTCGTTGCCGTTCAAGGACCCCTTCGCCTGGGGTAGGTCCTTTTAGCCTCGGGATGTGAGACAGGTTAAGGGAACGACCGTGACCAGTGGCCACAGGCCAATGGCTTTCTCCCGGGCAAGCAGTGGGCGAAGCCAAGAAGAAACCGTTGGGAATTCAGTCCCAGCATCGAGGTTCCGTTGATCGAAATTGCTTCGGTTTTCCGGATGCCGTGAATCCAGGAGCGAAAAAGGCTTCTGACCGATTCAAGAACCATGGGCCTGGAACAATCCTTCACAGAGAAACCCAAAGCAGGTCTACGTATTTGAACCACGGGCTTCAACCGCAGAAATCCAAGCACAGAGACAGTGTTGTCTTTTGCTGTTCCATTCGGACCGGGTGTTCTTGAAGAACAAATCGAGTCATCACAAGAGAAACATGTGTTTGGCATGTTTCTGCCAAAAAAACGAACCAAGTAGATGGCACGATTTCCTTAGAAAGTAGAGGCGGCTGAGCCATGGGTTGGAATTGTCCGAAGGAAATCCAAGAATTGCCCGAGACCTGCCCCAAATTTCTGAAAAGAACGATTCCAGCTGCTGGTGTCACACTGAAGCGCTTTTAAGATCCCAGATCCAGATCCTAGTTAGCCCTTCGATTCCTGTTCCTTTTGGCTAGAGGGTGGTTCCCTTGTTTGCCTTGCATTTGCTGAAGTCAATATGTTGTATTTCTTTGGCTTGAAAGGGAGTCTATCGCTATTGCCAATAGGAACGCCGACATTTTGGGGGTTTCCACTTTGGGAGAACTCCTACCTCCCCTCTTTGAGTGGTTTTCAATCCAGCCATTCCCCCTTTTGGTTGGCATTTCTGAGAAACAAGAAGGACACCATTGCCAATTTTTGTATCGGACCCATACCCATTTGAGAAACAGCCCCATGTTGGGGACCTGCTAGACCTTGAGCATTTGTCGTTTCCCCTTTGATGCTTTTCCAGTGTTTTAGTGTGGAAACACAACTTGTGGTTGGTGGATGCGTCCAATCGCTGTAATGAGTATTTGTGATGTTTTTTTCTTGGTCTGCAAAACGAATCCATCACCGGTGGAAAGAAAATGCCATCACCTTTTCCCGGGAACTGCAAAAAAATGGGAGGAACGAGGTTTCCACCGGGGAAGCCAAGCATTGGGCTTGGCCTTCGGACCCCCTTCCACTGGCATCCATATCGAAAAAATGGGATCGATGGGGGATGCATCGCCAAGGGGATGGCAGGGTTTTGGGATCACTCGGGGTTATCCAACCACTTCTCTGATACTTTTGGGAATCTTCTGATCTGTTCGCGTCTTTGCGAGCAGCGATTGTGTGGGGTTTAGGGGGAGGGGGGTGGTTAGGTCCGTTGGGAAGCCCTTTCTGTCTAGGTCCCCCAGTAGTGCCCTTTTACCCCTTTTTTGGGGGAGGGTTCCCATACTAAAATAGATAGAACAAAATGGTACCCTTATTCTACCCTCTCAAATCTGGAGGACCTTTTTGTTGCATCGCTTGTCGTTTCCGCCTGCTTGCTTTGGGGATTCGAAGGGCTTGGGATCGAGGGAGCGATGGATCGATCGGTTTCGGAGGCCTTTCTGAAGGTCGAGACCAAGGTGGGCATCGGCAAGGTGAACCGCGAGAACTTCCTGGCCTTCGCCCCGCGCTCAGGACTCGGAGCAATCGAAAAAATCGGAGGAGTCGACTCGGAGCCGAAGCGGAGTCGGAGACCGGCAGGAGTCGGGAGGTGGGGAGGGTTTTGGGGGGGAATTCGAAGGAGGTTCCAAGGAACAGAAGGGAACAGCACCGGTTGGATCTCCGGGTTTTCCTGGGGTCATCCCATTTCTCATGAGTTGAGGGGTGGGGGCGGGACACTTACGGGTCTGTTTGATGGCTTCAGGAAGCGTGTGCACCGAGATCTTCGAGCTAAGGATTTGGGTTCATACAAAATTTCAGGGTTTCGTGGGGGGGGGGGGGCAAGGAACAGAGAAAGTCTTTTGGAACTTCTCTTCCGAGGTGCCGAAATCGGCCAACTTTGGATGTTCAAACCGTGTGCGCGGGGGTGGGTTGGGGGAGGGGGACATTTTGGTGCAACAGGTCTTTTTTGGACGGCGCATAAGCCCAGGCCGTCGTTTAGCCGTTGTGAACAAGTAAGCTTCAGTGCCAGTTCAGCTTCCGTGATACCCGCGTAAAGATCTCAACGTGGCAAACTGGTCATAGGGAGTCAACCACTTTGGTGTCACAAGACATACTTTCCAATGCCAAAAGCGGGTTGTTTGAATACTACTGTGCATGGCAAAATCCTACCACTGCGGATGGATGAAACCCCATCAATCGTGGCACAATCTGCCTACCAACTGGTGCAGGATCTTGTCCATCCGCAGTAGCGGTGGTTGTTTTCCCCACAACTGTGTTAAGCCTACCTTATTGACTACACGAGGGTGAACGTAGAGAGCACAATCTAGCTATGTGCAAAAGTGAAGGGGCTGATGTCTAAACATGCTAAAGCAAGATGGGTTGGAGTTGTGCCATCTATGCAAGCAACCAGCTGGGAGAAGGGGAGCCCAACTAAGCCCTAAACATAAGAGGGCTTACTAAGAGCTCCCTCCTCTCCCCTCTTCCTCTCCCCTCCCCTCCCCTCTCCTCCCCTCTCCTCCCCTCCCCAGGACCCCTGAATTCCCCAGGAAATCCTTGTTTTTCTCTGGCCATCTCTCATTTCGATATCACCGAGGTGCGCAACCCCGCGAACGCGGATCTGCTGAAGCGCGCCGGCTTGCGGGACTGCTTGCCGAAGCCGAAGCGAGCGTTGCCGCCAACGCCCGCTTGGGCGGTTGGGGGCAAGGAACCTTAAAAACCTTAGGAACAATGGTTGGTGTCATGTCTAGCCACCATTTACCCCTCAGGATCGTCATCATCTATGGGTCCGTTGGGGGCAAGGAACTGACCACGGGTTGTCTCTTTTTCTGGTGTTGACCATTGCTTTGCTCGGTGTAAAGTAAGCCTCATGAAGGTGGAGCTGTGTTACACGGAAACAAAGGCGGCCTAAGTAGATTGAAGATCCAAGAAAACCACGCGCGCGGATCCCCTTTAGTACGAGGTTGAGGCAACCAGCCCCCCTCAGGCCAACCCACCAAATGATTGAAGGAGTAAGAGGGGTGCTTGGGTGTTCCAAAGTTCAACGCGCAATGGTTGCCACTACCTCATAACCTTGTGCACGGACAACTGGGCAAGAGGTCGTACCTGGGTCAAACATCCGGAATCCGAGCCCCTCGTAGTACCTCAAGTTACTCAAGGGCTTTGGGCTCTGTGGGTTGATCAATGATTCTTCTCTTCGGCCAGTTTTATCCATGGGACTATCTATTCCCATGTGGCTGACATATCTCAAATCTTTCTTGAAGGCGGTTTTTTCAAGCCGTGGTCCTCCCATCTGTTTCAAGGACCCTTTGCTCAACCCGCAGCCGCGTCCCGCGTCGCCGACCGGCGGCCGGAGCCTCCAGAGTTCGGATCGTCCGCAGGAGTCGGATGCCTCGGATCTCTGGGAAGCGGCGCAGCAGGCGGCGAACGACGAGGGCGATGTTTTGAGGGGCGACGATCAAGGCTTCCATGGCTGAAAGGGACTGATATACATGGATTAGCCGGAACAGCCCCCCCACCCCCGCCCCACCCCCAACCCCCCAACCCACCAACCCCCCAACCCCCCAGCCCAAATGAGTTCAGAACTCCGCCATGAAACTTGCTAGTGCGATTGGGAAGGACAACGAGTCTGGGGTTTGGGAACGAAGCGTTCTTGATTTTTCTTCAAGAAAACCATGAGGGATGGTTTATAGGTTGTGCCCTTGAGGTTCAGTCCCTATCTAAAGCAATAAGAAAAGATGGTTGGGCTCTTTTTATAGCCATTGTTTACCTCCTTCAATTTCAGCCTGCTTCGA